CCCCTTCACTTATCCAAACTGTCTCTGACTTTAAAGGATTCTTAAAGCACTCTCTTCCCTGACTATTGACACCATATTACCTGCTCTCTTTCTTTCTTTCCAGTCTTCACAGGTCTTCATTCTGCATCTGTAACTTAGCTCTTTATAGCATCCTATTGTTCTCATTGTTTTATGTTTAGTTCATCTCCCAATTAAACTGCAATTCCCTAAGCACAGAGATCAGTTCTCATAGTTCTTATTAAATGTATCAAGACTCTAGGATAACATCCACTAAAGTAAGTGGCTATTCCTATAACTCTTACTGTATAGTACTTTCTGTTGAAATTTATGTGTTGTTGCCTTTGAATCGTATCTGTTTTCCCGTACTAAAGTCTAGATTTTTGATCTTCTGTGCCCTAATCCATGTCTTACGGTTCTTTTGCCCTTAACATGGGTAATGTGTGTGTTACGCACACAAAATAGATGTTTGTAGTTGATGACAATGATGATGACGGTGTGTCTTCAATATATATTTGTTGATTATTTCGTTGATTTTCCATGGCAAATACATTTCCAGTTTGAGGAGAGAAAATGCATCTTTGTGCCCACTCATCTGATTAGTGGAGCCCCAGGAGCCTGAAAATTTCATGTCCCATTTATCTTTCACATTTGAGCCTGAGCATCTCCATCTGGGAAGCCAGGGACCCTGGGGATGGTACCTTTCCTGATAAGTTGCTCCTTTGGGCAGAAGGAGCAACATTTCTACTGTGGAACATTTACCTGTAAAGAATTCTTTTGTAATGAAGAGCACATATTCTGCTTAATGCAAGTCTCGGCATAACAGAAGGCAAGTCGTATTTAATTACCCCAGCTGCTGATGCTTCCTTGTAATTATTGTATTTATTTTGAGATTTACAGCTGTAACGAAGACATTAAGAAATGAAATCCTGGAACTCTGCTGCAGTCCCAAGATATTCAGGATTAAGTTTATGATTAATAATATTCACGCACTGACAGCCTAAGAAGATAAACACCATCATCACTCTATTGTTAGGTTATCTTGGGATCTAAAATTACTTGTCCTACATTGATAATGAAAACTAGCAATATTCCTCTTCCCATACTAAACACCTCACCTTCTCTAGATATATAAGCCCTTTTGTGGAGGAGACAAGCAGATGCAGGATGTGCTTACCCCACAGAACATGACAGCAATGACAACTGTATCCTTTATTGATGAAGGAGAATGTGCCCAGAAATCCTTGATTAGTATTAGTGTCAGTATATTATAAGAGCAATATCTGTTCTGAAAATAGTGTTGACATTTATCTATAGCACTGATAATTCTTTTACTTCTTTGATAATTATCCTATAATCATTAGGGACCTCGAAACCCGGGTTCCTGGTCATGCCTAAAATGGAGAACAAATTGTACCTGATTCCTCCCTACCCCCCCATCCCCCACCCATCAATCTGTAATACCAATAAAGACAGCAGCAAGCTATTCAGTATTCCAGTGTTGTGCTGTTCCAGAAGGGACCATTCACGCTGAAACATTAGTGTACAACATAGGATACTGTATAATGTGAATTGACCCCCTCAAATTGTGTACCATGGCAGATGTGGACATCTCTTTCCTCCAGGGAGGTGAGCCTCAAGCTGCTTACATTGTAATTCGGAACCAAACCTTGAAAATGTAAGCAGGATAAGGACTCCAAATTCTCCCTTTTTTCAAGTTAACAATTAAATTTCCCACGTTTTCTTGCTAGGTTTATGAGACTCAAAACAACAGGAAGAGATCGTAGAAAGATATAAAGAGCTGACCTAAAACAATGATCAGTACTGGTCAGTGCAGTGATATTAATATACTGACAGTGACTGGTGGGAATGATGCATGCAGTATAAGTTCGTGCTTGTGTAGAAAGTCAAAGAAACCAGTGCTTGCCATGTACCTATGAAGTATCGGGCAGCTTAATGTATATTATCTTACTAAATGCTTAAAAGCACCCTGTAAGGAAGGCACAATTACCCCTATTTTAAAGCCAAGGAAACTAAGACTCCAAAAGTTTGAGGAACTGGGATAAACTCTCAGAGCTTTTTCCACAACACACTGTCACCCTAGAAAACAGAGACGTTTCAAGGGGATCACGAGTATGCTGTATAACAGAGCTGCCAATGGCAACATAATGCAAGCCACGTATGTAATTTTAACCTTTCCAGTAGTCCCATTTAAAAAATTAAAATTGGCCGGTGATAATTTTTATATTTTATTTAACCCAGTATATCACAGACATTAGAATTTCACCATGTAAAACAATTACTGAGATTTTTTCATACTAAGACTTTAAAGTACAGTGTATATTTTACACCTATAGCACATTTCTGTTTGGACCAGTGGACATTTCAAACTTAGACCACGTTTCGAGTGCTCAATAGACATATGTGGTTAGTGATTGCCATGCTGGACAATGCAGCTCAATAATGTGCATAGTCTGCTGCACAAAAGGAATATTAAACAACAATACTAATAAATGGTGAGAGGTTGTCTTTACCATGTTTTACTCGTTCATCCATCTCATACTGGCCGAGCACCTAGTGCACAGGCAACTGTAGGGGATAGATGGAAAACTAATCATGCTCGCAGGGAATTCAGAATCAAGCAGGAGAGATTGGAGAAGCAACAAATAAGAATAATTAGGGTGGGAAAGCTAAAAGTGCCACAAGAAAAGCGCAGATAGATAAAAGGCTGTGGAGCTTCAGCAGAGGGAGAGGCTCTTTCTAGCTGGGAGATCAAGGAAATTTTGGGTCATTTAAACTTAAAAAAAGAAAAAGATGGGTAGAGAGCAGGCACGCAGAGTTATAGAGAAGGGCACTCCAGGCAGAGGAAACAGCTTGAGCAAAGGCGTGGAGGTGGGTCAAGCATGGGGTATATGTGAAAAATGGTGAAAAGTTCTGTCAGCTTAGAGCTTAAAATGAGTGAAGAGGAGGAAGAAGGGGAGAGCTTTGAGGAGTAGGCAGTGGGCAGTCATTACAGCTTATGAGCAAGAGACTGAAGTTTAATCCAGCAATACAGTATGTAATTTGGAACAAATACTGTAAGATGGTGAGGGGACTTCTGAAATCATCTGAGTGAGAGGTAGCAAAGCCATGAACTAGAAGGAGAATGAAAAAAAAGAAGGAGGCACAAGACGTACTATTAGAGGTTCCATTAGCAGGACTGACAGCTGCGTAGAACGAGGAGGAAAGTCCAAGATGCCAGGGTACCTAGTGTAGCGCTGATACCAGTAACAACAGCAAACACGTGAAAAAGAAAACAGAGGACCAGGAGATTTGGGAGAAAAGATGGTGGTCCAGTTCGGGACATACTGAATTTTATTGATAACCTTGTATTGGAGACATAAATAAGTAAGTAATAAAGTATAGATACTTGTCTCCACAAATGCCACGTAGAAAATGAGCCAGTGTTGAGAGAAGTTGGAACGTTTAATTCTCCACACTGTAATCTTGGCAAAGAGCCTCACACCTCCATGTCTCAGTCTCCTCAAATGTAAAATGGTGATGATGGAAACTCCCTCTTGGAGTTGAGTGACAACCCAATGAGCTGGCACAGGTAAAATTTGAGGACAGAGCCTGGTCCAGAGTAAACACTCAAGAAATGCCAGATATCATTACTATCATAACAATTTTTCCATTTGGGAGGTAAGTCAAGCCCCAGTGTACCTGTGTCAGTGAAGGTTTCCATCATTACTATGTGGAAGGCAGAATCAGCAAAAGCGTCTTAGATGGGCTCAGGGCCTAGGATTCCTGGTGCTCTCTCTACTTTGTGGGCAATTCCAAAAGGCAATTCTGCCTCTGTGGTAGAGGAGTCAGTGTTAATGTGGGAATCTCAGCGTCAAGAGCTGCAGTATACCCTAGAATATTAAGCGCTACATTTAGTGGTTTGGCGAGGCCAACTTGTACCAACTTGCAGAAGCCGATTGTAAAATTTCTGAGAATTTTTCTAGTTGTTTGTTGCCATTATTAAAAGTGAAATTATATAATCTTACAAATAAGTTAATAACATAAAAGTAAGGTAACAAATACCCAATACTCAGAATTTCTAATTATTTTACTATTATCTATGCTCTTGAGGTTCTTTTTACCTATTGTGTATCTATTGGGTGGAAATACTACATAATGTTGTACTACTCCCCATCTCTTCCCAACATTCAGTGGTATCACATTAGCGTCTTGACATCAGCCATAGTAGTAATTTTTATGCCACGGGACTGGCAAATGCTACAAATCAGGGCTTGAGTTACTCTTTTGTTGATGGACAAAACAAGGGAATGACAAACTACAGTTTATAAACCAAATCTAGCCCACTGCCTATTTTTTGTATGACTTAAAAACTCCAAAAGGCTTTTATATTTTTAATAGTTGAAAAAAATCAAAAGAAGATTTCATGATATATAAAAATTACATTACATTCAAAGTTCAGTGTGCATAAATAGAGTTTGACCAGAATACAGCCATGCTCATCTGTTCACATGCAGCCTGTGGCTGCTTTCAGACTGTGATGGCAGAGGGTCGTACAGATAGAGAGACAGTTAAAATAGAGACCTTCTGGCCTGTAAAATGTAAAATGTTACTCTCTGGTCCTTAGCAGAAAACGTTTTGGCCAATTCCTGGTTTGGACTTAAGAACATAGTAGAGAAAATTTAAATAATGCAGATCAAACTTTTTAAATGTATCATGTGTTTGGCTATTATATAGTGAATAAAAAAATGAGGAAATAGCCTCCCAATATTCTTATAGTACTCAAAGTCATTGACAAACAAGTGAGTTCCAACATACACAGTTGTTGTTTTACTTAGTCTTACTCACTGACTTGAATGAAAACATCTACTAACATTCATGTAAGAACCATATCGGGTTGTCAGCTGCAACTATAGATTGGCTATAGATACAACAGTTTGGCAAAAATCAACAAAAGTATTCTGTAAGAATCAATTAACTATATGGGATTTACAACAAAAGGTATGTATTTTATTATTATTGATAAATTGTGTGCTACATATTCTTTACAGCAATATAATTGACAATAAACCTATGTACACAAATATAGTAAAACCTTGGATTGCGAGGAACTTGTTCTGTGAGTGTTCCGCAAGATGAGCAAATATTTCTAATAAATTTTAACTTGATAGACAAGCGATGTCTTGCAATGTGAGTAGTACATGACACTGAACATCCCATGATCACAACTGAGCCAATGGTTCCTATAATTCATTTCGATATACAGTGCTTTGGATTACAAGCATGTTTCTGGAACAAATTATGCTTGCAAACCAAGTTTTTACTGTATAGGCATACTCTCCCACCCCCTCACTGAGCTAATTGTTAAACATTTAGTAGCACATCACTGGGTTAAGTCTTTTTCTCACCTCCTCACATTCTTACCTCCCCTAGGAAATAATGGGAAAATCCCAGCTGATTCAGTGAGCTGTAGCAATAGCAGTTTGGTATTCTACAGTGACAACAAGGCAGGAGTCTAGGGACAAGATAGGTCTAAAATGAAGATTGAATCATGGCTCCTCTGAGAGTCTTTAAGACTAGGCTCAACGGCAACCTATTATTCATACTTCACACAGATTTCCCGAACTGTACCCTTGACTTTCCATCAGGGCTTTGGCTTAAATTATTTTCATTTGGATTTTTTTTTCATTCTTTATTCTCCTTTCTCCAATTTGGCCTGCAATCCAGGCTTCCAGGACCCCTGAAACATGGAACTCTTTTGATGGTCTCCCAGGTGATTTAAAAGCTTGGACATCTTGGGGCGCCTGGGAGGCTCAATCAGTTAAGCGTCCGACTTCAGCTCAGGTCATAATCTCATGGTTCATGAGTTTGAGCCCCGCGTTGGGCTCTGTGCTGACAGCTCAGAGCCTGGAGCCTGCTTCGGATTCTGTCTCCCTCTCTCTCTGCCCCTCCCCCCGTGCGTGCACTCTCTCTCAAAACTAAATAAACATTAAAAAAATTGTAAAAAGAAAAAAAAGCTTGGCATCTCTTAAATCTGCCTGATGGGGTGCTTCTTCCGTCTTTCTCTTACCTCAATCAAAGTTACATCGACTGAGACCCCGGGAGCTCTCACTCAAATGAAACCTAGCCTCTGGACAAACATTAGGTAACAGACAACCAGAAGGATTTCAAGCAGCTCTCGTTCTCATTGCAAATTCCTCTAACCACACAGTGAAAGAAGGGGAGTGCAGGACTTGGGAATTAATGCTTTCAGCATTTCTTCTGAGACCGAGGGTTGTTAGAGTCGCTCACAGAAAATAAATGACTTCTTTTTTTTCTCGTAGGGCAGCTAATCCGGTATCAGAAATCAGGTGATAATATATTTATGTAAAGAGAAATGGATTAAAGCTTTGGGTCGGTAGAGTTCATAAGAGAAGAACATATTGTCTTGTTATTTTCTAAAGTGAAGACAATGTATGCTGTGCATTTAAACACTGTTTGCTTCACCTGAATGTGCTTTCTGAGCACATGTGTTTCAGGCACCGAATCAATGCTTTTATGTAATCATTTTTAAATTGGAGAGCCAGTTTAAATTACAACCATAATCAAAATTAATGGCATAACGTGTTTTGAAACATGAGGTGTCTGAGAAAATTATCCCTCGACTTCACCATGGGACTGTGTTACCAATTGATTTTGAAACTACTCCGATGATCTCATGGTTATCTTGGGCTGTCATTGACTAGCATGTCACATCCCACCTTTCATCAGCCAACTATGCTCTTGCCAAATAATGTGAAGTCAAATCTGCTTATATTTTCTCAAACTAAGGAAATGCAGGGGGTGTGATGTTTTAAATTAAGCAAGATTGTTATTCTCATAAGGATAGAAGAACTTAAAAATAGTTGTACCAATCCAGAAAGCCTTTATTTGTATTTCACATATTAAAGTAGCTCTAAATCTTATACCCCATCCTTTTGGAAGTTTCAAATTGAGCAAATCGCTGTTTCACTTTTTCCTTCTCAAGGATGATGTGCAAAAAATAGCAGAAACGGTTTTTTTCAACATATTGTCCAAAGCAACACGATTTTGCTGTGATCTGTTTAATGAATTGTTGCCCTGAAATACTCCCCTAAGCTTATGAAATTCCTTCTCACAACTATTTAACTTATTAGAATGGAGGTCCATTTCATAGATGGCTAATGGTCACGATATTCAATGCGTTGTGTACAATAGCAGTAGCTAATGCTTGGGTTAGGGTTATGACCTTTACTACCTCACAGTAAGAATTTTGAGTAAAATAACACCAGTTAAATGACAAGATGGGCTCGTATATCAAGGCTTTGCTACATAGGATGAAAATGCATATCCACATGTGTATATATCTCTGTGCATTTATACGTGCATAGTGTGCAAATCTGAATTTGACTTGTTCAAATACAACTCACTTTCCCCAAATTAAACAAAGCAAAAATAAATAAATAAAAGGCCACTCTGGGTATCATCTAGTGGTTTAAAGTCAGAGTTTCGCACTTCCTTTTAAGCACCTGACATTTTCATCTTGTTCTGGCAGGCCCATTTTTAGTTCCTCCCTCCTGTTTGGCCAGAAATGAAACCTTAACAACAAGCCACATTCTCCCGAAATCTGATTATAAAGCGCATCTGTGTGTTTTCTCAGCAGCAGGCAGGAGCTTCATATTGGGCTGTAGAAATCTACACAGCTGGAGCTAAACTGTAATTTTATTCAAACTCTGCATGAGAATTGGAGAATTATAGACATAGATAATAAATAGGCCTCTAGGAGAAGAGGTAAAAGATAAAAAGGCAAAAAAACACAGGCAGAGGGATACAGTATGGTCTTGGCTGCAAAGACTGAATGCAAGACTGCTTCCTATCAAAGTTCCTATCAGTGAGCCATACTGGAGTTCAGATTAACAAACACTGTGCTTACTATGTGCTGGCAGTGATTTAGCTCTGGTGATACCAAGATGAATGAGGAGGCATGGTCTCAGCCCTGAGGGAACTTAGAGTCAGTGGATTCATACACAACGTGGAGAGCTAGTGATGTACCGAATACAACTGGGAAAGAGAGTTGGGGCACTCTGCCAGGGAAAGGATGGGATCAGAAAATGCCTCCTGAAAGAGATGATGCTGGAAATGTGCTGATGTATAATGAAAAGACCGTTGAACTTAGAACATGAAGAAGATGGTTTGAGCCTAGGCCTATTAATTTTTTTTTTTTTTTTTTTTTTTTTTTTTAATTTTAAAAAGAGGCTCCTGGGTGGCTCAGTCAGTTAAGCAACCGACTTCAGCTCAGGTCATGATCTCATGGTTCATGGGTTTGAGCCCTGTGCCAGGCTCTGTGCTGACAGCTCAGAACCTGGAGCATGCTTCAGATTCCATGTCTCCCTCTCACTTTGCATCTCCCCTGCTTGTGCTCTGTCTCTCTCTCTCTCTCTCTCTCTCTCTCTCTGTCTCTCAAAAATAAATAAACTGAAAAAAAAATTGAGTCCTAGATCTAATGTGATCACACATTAGCTGTATGATCTGTCAGTAATCATAGTGGCTAACAGGTATCACCTCTACCTGTGTGCAGGCAGGCACTAAGCTACAGTCTTCACGTGTACCATCTACCTTGTGGGCAAGACCGAATTATTTTCCTTCTCATTTGCAGATGAGGAAACTGCGTCCCAGAGACATGAAGTTAGTTAGTTGCTAATGGTCAAGGAATGAGTGGAGTGAATTTGAGCCACTTCTGTCAACTACCACCGCAGACTCTAAACTCGCCAAGACTTGTTTTCTGTAAAATGGGGCTGATAATGACTGCCCTATTTACTGTTGCAAAGTCTTGTGAGGATCAAATGAGATAATATAATTGAAAGTGCTTTGGAAAGTGTATATCCAATAAACGTACAAGATACTAATTCTTTTCCCAGCATTGAATTGCCATGTGCTGTTGCCTTGTCAGCACATGCAATGACTATCTTCCCCACCCCAGAGCTACGAAAGCTCAGTGTGATAGTGTAGCATGTTTAACACTTAGAAGGTGTACTAATTGTTGACTTCTCCAACCATGGGTCGCACATCCGTAGATACAAACCAATCTTGCCTAGATACCTGGAGCTCATATTAGTCACAGGAACCATCACAAGGGGGGTTGCTCAAGGAGAAGACTTGCTGGAAGATTCCATATGAGGCCTATTAATCCACCATCTCTCTCAGACCCAAGCAAGGTGCTGTTCCAGGAGGAGGAGCTGGGAGTGCTCCTGGATGTGAACTTGATCTTTTTATGGTTCCTTTCTAGTTAAGCATCCTCCTAGAGGAGGCATTTGGGTATATAGTACTGTGATATGGCCAGATCTGGCAAGCTTGGCCTCTGAAGTTTAATGAGAGAAAGAAAGGGAAGGAGGAGAGAAAATCTTTGAGGGCCTCCCATTTGTAAATTTTTTTTTTAACGTTTATTTATTTTTGAGACAGAGACAGACAGAGCATGAACGGGGGAGGGTCAGAGAGAGGGAGACACAGAATCTGAAACAGGCTCCAGGCTCCAGGCTCCGAGCTGTCAGCACAGAGCCAAACGCGGGGCTCGAACTCACGGACCGCGAGATCATGACCTGAGCCGCAGTAGGCCGCTCAACCGACTGAGCCACCCAGGTGCCCCGAGGGCCTCCCATTTGTAATCAGAGGTCTCACCCATGGTCCTTCACCCTCCATGGGTGTGGGACCGATGCCTCAGAACTGAGAAGTGGTAACTGGAGACTAAATGCTGACCTTTCTGCACATTCCTCAGAGTTATATTGCCACACGGAGGTCATTAAGTGGTCAGAGAAAGTGGGAAGGTGGCAGAGATGGCTCCATCTTCAAATTAAGTGTTTGTTCTAAGTGCAAGATAATCATATAGAAGGTAACTTTTTAAAAATCCCACTTTAAATGTATGTAAATCTTGGCTCACTGTTTATTTCCAGCAGATGTGTAACGGTGAAGTCTAAAGTTCACAGCAACCCTGGAGCAAAGAAGTTAAATGCAGCTATCAATTCTTGAAGGTTTCTAATCTACAAACAAACAACAGCCAAACTTTATTCATCTCTGAGTATTTCTGAGTTGGTGCTGTAGGACAGTGCTTCTCAAACTTTAAAGTGCATGTGAATCGCTCAGGTGTCTTATTAAAATGCAGGTTTAGGGGTACCTGGGCGGCTCCGGCTCCGTCGATTAAGCGTCCGACTCTTGGTTTCTGCTCAGGTCATGATATCACAGTTTCGAGAGTACAAGCCCTGCATCTGGCTCTGCACTGGCAGTGCAGAGCCTGCTTGGGATTCTGTCTCCTTCTCTCTCTGCCTCTCTGCCTCTCTCTCTCTCTCTGAACAAATAAACAAACTTTAAAATGCAGGTTTATATTCAGTACACCTTACAATTTTTAACAAACACCCAAACAATGCTGATGTTGTGACCCATGAGCTACACTTTGAGCAGCAAAGCTGTAAGGGATAGAAAGATAAAATAAAATAGATAAAATAGTATTTCTGCTTTTAAGGAGCTTGTATTTTGCCTCAAGCTGGACTAACCATATGATTGCTTAAAAGTATCATTGTAAAGCTTCTCAGATTACAGATCACTTATTTAATTGTGGGGAGGTACACATGTAAAATTTACTATGTTAACCATTCTTAAGTGTACAATTAGTGTTAACCATATTCACATTGTTGCCCAACAAATTTTTTCAGCCTTTTCTGTTGTAAGAAACTATATCCATTAAACAACTCCCTGTCTTCCCCCTTCCCCCAAGCCCCTGGCAGCCACCATTCTCCTTTCTGTTTCTATGATGTTGACTACTTAGATACCTCATAAAAGCAGAATCATGTAGTGTTTCTCTTCTTGTGACTTGCTTATTTCACTTAGCATGATGTTCTCAAAGTTAATCCATGGTGTGGCATGTGTCAGAGCTTCCTTCCTTTTTCAGGCTGAATAATATCCCATTGTGTGTATAGACCACATTTTGCTTATTCTTTTATCCACTGATTGACATTTGTATTGCTTCCACCTCTTGCTACTACGAATAATGCTACCACCAATACACATATATAAATAATTCTTCAGGATGCCGCCTTTTAGATAATTGTAAGGATCTTTGAATAATTTCCAAAACATAACGCCTGAAGGATTCTCTTATATGCAATACTAATAAGTGCTTTGGGGGCTCAATTCTTTTCAAAAAGCCAGTGCCATGGAGTTATAAATTTTAGCATTCCATACTGTCAGATGTTAGAAACCAAAACTTTAGTTTCTCCTGAGTGCGATAATAAAATCTCTAAATGCCTAATAACCTAGTAGACATTCTTAAAGATTCCCCAAATCCCTCTTGCATCAATATTTAATATATGGTCACTAACTTGGTGATTTGCATTAACAGCATTCAATAGAATGCGCCCAGGGGAAGCAGAAGGCTGCTGTTTGCCTGGATTGGTCCTGCCCTAGGCCCCCGGGGCAATAACTATGATGGTGATTGGGTCCTTAATAACACCTGAAGGATTATTTTAATCCAGAAAACTGAAATAATAAGAAAAGACTATGAAAGACTTACACAAATTAACATATAATTTAAACATATGTGTACAGGGGCGCCTGGGTGGCTCAGTCGGTTACGCATCCGACTTCAGCTCAGGTCATGATCTCACGGTCCGTGAGTTCGAGCCCCGCATCAGGCTCTGTGCTGACAGCTCAGAGCCTGGAGCCCGTTTCAGATTCTGTGTCTCCCTCTCTCTCTGCCCCTCCCCTGTTCATGCTCTGTCTCTCTCTGTCTCAAAAATAAATAAAAATAAAAAAATAAAAATATAAAATAAAATAAAATAAAATAAAAAAATTAAAAAAAAATTAAAAAAAAATAAACATATGTGTACAAATCAAATTATAAATAACATACAAATTAAAGTGTAGATGGCTTAATTATTAATTAACTGCCCTTTTCTCTAAGGCAGCATTTCCAATCGTGTTCCTTGAGATATTAGTGGCCTTTTTAACATGACAGGTTTGTGTAAAGAACGTTTTCTCTGGCCAAGTGCATCTGGGAAATACTGTCTATCCCCTCTTTTGGGGGGCCACCCAAAAGCAGACACCAAGGCAGGATTAAATGTGCAAGAGATTTACCGGGCAAATTGCCTGGGAGACAAAAAGGGGATGGAGTTGGAGGAGGCCAGGGGAGCCTTCAGACCACAATGCAGGCCCCATGAAGGAGAGAAGGGAGATAGGAGGGTTGGAAATGAAGAGACTCAGACTGTGGCGTGATGCTAAGAAAGTATTCAGAAGACTGTTAGGAGTCCTGGAGCCCAAGTCAGCAGTCAGAAGAATGCGAGACCTCTTTGTAATGATCTTCCGTTAGTATCCCTGCTGTGCCCAGTCATCGGGAGCAGCCTGAGGAAAGGGCAGCCTTCCCTGCAAACACAGCAAGGGATTGCAGAGCACAACAGCGGGACCCTGGGTCAGCTATGTTCCCCTCAGAAGGAGATGTGAGGGGTGCCAGGTAAAGACTGCGAGAATTCCATAATAGAGAAATAATTTAAACTGTTTAACCACCAGGCTTATTTGACTGAAAAATGCCTCCCCGCCACACACATGTTACGCTTCCCCTCCCGGCCTTCACGATCTTCATCTCGAGGAGTATTAGGGTCCCCCAGAACACATCCTGGGAAATGGTACACCAGGGTAACTATTCCATTCTTGTTCTGATTCTTTTGTTGTTCTTGCCTACCATCCTTGTCTGTAATAGTTCAAAATTCCATGCTTGAAGAGTAACCTTTTTGCTTTAATTGCAATTCAGAATGCAGTTTTACTGCCCAGGCTGTTTCTGTTTCTAATTCCTAACTCTCAAATTCAACAGAGAATCTCCAGAAAGATGTTAACTGTTACTTACAGCCCTTGGTATGTGTTCATCTAACCATTCCCTCTTCCCAGGTCAAAAAGTTAAGCTACTTTTTCCAGCCCCTGTGTCAGCAGAAATATGTGCAGTTCTAGCCTGAGGGTGGTTGAGTTCCTTTGTGTCTTCTCCGTGTTCTCTTACCCACGGATGCATCTGAAAGCAGGTTGCATCTGAAAGCATGGATGCATCTGAAAGCAGGTTGGCGGAGCTGAAAGATGGAAGCAACCTGGAGCCCTGAGTCACTGTTTAAAGCAGGTACACAGACAAGCTGGCCAACTTGTTTTAAGCCACTGGAATTTGGGCCTTATTTGTTATTTCAGCATAGCTTAGCCTAAGCTGACTAACATAACAATCCATACAATACAGGATCCATAGGAAGATGTCGGTTCTGCAAAGCTTCTTTCAAAAACCTAAAAGCTTAGCTCTATGCTGTTATGGCAAGAAGGCCTTTCTCCACCTCCCAGGATTTAGGGAAGAGGTAATATCTTCCATGATGAATGAGCTCTAGAAGAATTTTCCTTATCGCTTAAAAGTCCCTTTGTCTGCACCTATTTCCTGCCCACCCACTATCCCCTACCCACCACCCTCGCTCCCTAATCTGAGCTCAGTACCTTTGCTTTGGCCTTAGCTACTGAAGTGCTCCATAAGCACAAACAATCTTGCATTCATCATTGTTTCTGGTGGGCCTTGATGGTGTTCCCCTATCATTCTGCCATAAAGCCAAAGTTTTTTTTGTTTTTGTTTTTTAAGGGATCAAAGAATAAACCCTTCCATTAAAAGGGCTCTTCTTTATGCATTTCAAAAGCAAATATGATTTATGATAGATCACAGCACATGCAAAATAAAGCTGTTGTTGCTCATTAAATGGCAGCTCAGGAAGACCTCTTTTGACGGCAAAAATCTTCCCTGTAAGACAGATGGAGAAATATGTAAAGGCCAAAAAGATAGCAAAGCCCTAGATCTGTCTCTCAAAAAGCCACTGTATTCCCAGTTCTCATCTAAGAAATGCCTTTGTTTCAAGAACCTAATGAAAGTTTTCCCTTTATGTTCTAGTTTCTTATGTTACAATAAATGAAAGAATTATGAGGAGAATGAACTTTGTATGACAGTACATTGACGCCATCCACTCTTACCTTCTGTTGAAGCTTCTTCCTTTTTTTAAAAAAATTTTTTAATGTTTATTTATTCTTGAGAGAGACAGACACAGAGAGAGAGACAGAGCATGAGCAGGAGAGGGACAGAGAGAGAGGGAGACAGAATCTGAAGCAGGCTCCAGGCTCTGAGCTGTCAGCACAGAGCCTGATGCGAGGCTCAAACCCATGAACCGTGAGGTCATGACCTGAGCTGAAGTCAGACGCTTAACCAACTGAGGCACCCAGGTGCCCCACAACTTCTCCTTTTAAACTCATTTTATCCAAATGTACTTTGAAAGGTTTTATACTTCTCAGCAATATCACTTTATACTGGATTTAATTGAGGGCTAGTGACTTTCTATAAAAAGAATAATGCATTCATTCATTCAACAAAATATTATTGAATCTCTAGCATGAAGCCTGATGCTAGGAGTATAGGGATGAAATGTGTACTCTAGGGGAAGATAGACAAGGGCAAACAGACAATTAATAGCCAGTGAGAGACACTTACCCTGAGGCTGATGGGGAGGTAAAGCCAAACACTGGTTCTGAAAAATCACCTCAGAGGTAGCCAGAAGGTTTTGGGAAGTGGGAAATGTTTTTCAAATAGAGAGTAGTCTGTGTGGGAGAATACGGGAAGGGAGAACATGGCCTATTCAGGGAACCACAAGTAACTTGGCAGGGTTAACTAAAGCAGAAGCTGTTAGTTAAGGGTGGGCAGGGTCTGGCTAATGAAGGGCCTACGTGCCCCCTATTTTATTCCAGTGGTGATGAGGCATTGAAGAATTAGATGCAAGAAAGAGATACCGTCAATTTTACTTCGGAAAACTCTGGAAATGGAAAAGGAAACTGAAGAGCCATTAGGAGGTTGCTACAGGGATGGGTGCATTTGAGAAATGACGGGGGCTCAGCTAAGGCAGTGACAGCAGGGGGATAAGGACAGAGATGGATGCAGGCATCGGGAACATAATCCCTATTATGTTTTATTTCCGTGAGAACTTCTAGTGTGACGTATCATTTCAACTTTAGGCACCTTTTCCAGCCCTTTTCTTCCCCTAAATGTCAGAATTGCCACATCAAAGTGTTCATTCGAAACAGATATGTCAATCTTCCGACTTCCCTGGCTCTTGCTTTTAATGCTTGAGGAGGAAGGATAGGGTAAAGGCTGAAAAGAGATGCTATCCCATTATTGTAGAGGCCTAAATCCATATCACCCCTCTCTGTGGCCCTTGATCATCCTAAGATAGTGCCATTCTCAATGCAGTTCATGACCAGCCTTCGTATTTCCTGCCCAAGTACCATCAAGTTTAAGACACATAAAAAAGTGAATTCTTGTTGGCATTTACTTTTTGAAGCATTACAAATTTACCACAGAACTGGGAAGAGTTTAAGATAATTGAATTTGGTGTTTCCCAAGAGGTGACATAGCACCCAGAATTTTAAGTGACTCACGTTCAGTAATTATATATTGAGATGCATATTAGAAAATACGTAACTGGCGTATCATATCCATTTTTTTTTTAATTTTTTTTTCAACGTTTATTTATTTTGGGGACAGAGAGAGACAGAGCATGAACGGGGGAGGGGCAGAGAGAGAGGGAGACACAGAATCGGGAACAGGCTCCAGGCTCCGAGCCATCAGCCCAGAGCCTGACGCGGAGCTCGAACTCACGGACCGCAAGATCGTGACCTGGCTGAAGTCGGACGCTTAACCGACTGCGCCACCCAGGCGCCCCTCATATCCATTATTAAGAAATGTTACTGTTCAGAAGTGGTTGGTTTAAAAGGTCAGTCATTTTATTTATTTTTTTTTTTCAACGTTTATTTATTTTTGGGACAGAGAGAGACAGAGCATGAACGGGGGAGGAGCAGAGAGAGAGGGAGACACAGAATCGGAAACAGGCTCCAGGCTCTGAGCCATCAGCCCAGAGCTCGACGCGGGGCTCGAACTCCCGGACCGCGAGATCGTGACCTGGCTGAAGTCGGACGCTCAACTGACTGCGCCACCCAGGCGCCCCGAAAAGGTCAGTCATTTTAAAGACCATATTCAGATTGGAGAGAAATAGTAAAAATGGATAAGTCACTCAAAATCAACAGACTCATCCAAACTCTGAGTTCATGATGGGATTAAAGTCAGGACCCTAAGTAAAATGCCCACAGGCAAGGACTGATTGTTTATCCACACTGCCCTTCCCCCAGAGCTTACAGCTCAATTACAGTTCCCAGTCCTTTGCAGTAAGAATAGGTATGTTTTCTCCATGTTTCTATTCCCTCACCTGCTGAAAACAAGAATTCAGTGGGTGACTCCAGGGGAAGGATGGTCATGTGAAAACAAAGGCCCCCTTTTTCCTAATACACACTGGAGAGTGACATGAGAGAGGAACCCGTCATGTGATGAGCCACACAGGTTTGGGGTGGTTAAAGCAATCAATGCAGTCAACTTACCTAGTACCACCAGCATCACTCAGTTAATAGCCAAGTTGGAATTAGGACCCTGGTCTCCTAAGGGTCTTTGTGAAGGATAAATTCCTGGGTGAAAAGAGAAAGGCAGTACTGGCCTTTCACTGCATTTGTCTGCATCTTAGTTTCAATTCTTATAAAAGAATGAGCTGCTGTTAATCACCAGAAGAGCAGAAAGCACATTTTTAGATGACAAAAGTTTGAAACAAGTTGTCCGAAGACTGACATACCCAACACCACAGATTGGTATCTGGTTGTAGTTCTCTCTCATTGTTAATTAAACTGAGGAGAGAAACCCCTTGCCAGTAGGTTAAGCTTAGTCTGATAAGCGGAAGCCAGCCCCATTCCCTCCATCTGGCATCTGTTCCAGACATTTCACTCACTGCTTATCTCCGGTTCAGTGTGGGACTGGCATAGCAGAGCAGGGACCCTGATAGCACTTTCCTTTTATTTTTGAGTCTGTCACTGCAGCATCAGCTGCTTGGAGAAACAAGGGGGTACAGAAGATACGCACAGCTCCTGCAGCTGGTGGTTCCAGAATCCAGGCTTCCACTGTGGGATTTGAATGTGGTAACAAACATGTCCCGACCCACTGCCTCCATAAACTGATTCAGGGCTTTATCAGAGTGAGTTCAGCTGTGTTCTGTTTTATGTACTATATATGCACTGTCCATGCAGTTAAAAGGAATTCCAGAGGGCCTTGGGCATGTATGTAACAACTGCAGATTCCCTGCTGAGATTGTGGCTTTTGGTATCCTCTTTCTCCCTTTGCCTACCAACCAGTGGGGGGAAAAGTTGGTTGTCTTTGAATGTGATAGTCCATGCACTGGGCATAAAAGATGGGAGGTTGGCATGGATGTTACATGGAGGATGCCTCTACAGGTAACTCTTGATGATGCAGGGAAAGAGCAATCGATGTGAAGATCAGCCATTGGGGAGGGTGGGAGGACATATAGGATGAAAAGTTAATAGGATTATGAATCAGTTGAGAATATATATGTATTTGTAGCGTGTGGCTGAAACTAAATAGTAACCAGCCAACATTCCACTGTGTTCACTGCAGTGTGTAAACAGCCACACCAGTCATCTGGTTGATCAAGTTTAAAGGAGCAAATAAATTGATGCAAATAATAATATCTTGATTGATGTAAGCAGGAAACCTAGTCAATGAAGGAGAGGAGTGAAGGGGAGGAGACAACTAAGGAGAAGCAAACATGTATAGCCTGGGTGAACACCTACCCCACAAGGTGACTAGGACCATGGGCCCAGTCACTCAACTACCTGCCCCAGTAAGCTTCATCCTCATGAGAGACATTCAATCCACAGATCCTGGTATGACTTGTTTTAACTTCTCTGTGTTACCTATGATCTCCTTCCCATAGCCCCTTTCCCCCATGCCTTTCCCCGTGTGCCTCTTCGCATCATTACACTAGTTAATTGAGCATTGGCCATTCAGTTTTTTAAGAATACCATCAAGTCCACAATCACTAATAAAAGTCATTTATTATTTCTAAGGGAAAGTCCTCCCTGAAGTAAAACTTTAACAGCAGACCATAGGTTTTGCATGCTGGGCCTTGCAGGAGGCTAAATGGGGTCACAGCCATGAGCCCCAAGGAGTATGTCCCATCCCCTCAATCTGGAAACAGGAAACAGAAAGCCTGAGAGTACCTAGGCATGGGAACTCTCAGCCAAACAGTGTGGACTTCAATTTCAAGGTTTTAGTGCTACATCAGATCTAGATGTTTTAACGCTCTTGTGGGGAAAGCTTACTGGAATGACAGAAACAACAGAGCAGCTTGGGTATATTCAATTTCTTTCTTTGGCTCCGGATAATGGGTGGGCAAATGTGGTTTCCATTATCCTTTCTCATGGCCCACTTCAACAAGGGCCCCTCAATTTGTGGGAAAGGCCTGAAGCCACAGGCCAAAGAGACCACAGAGACGGGTGTGATACTCCCACATCCACAGCCCTGTCCCAACCAATTGCCTTCACTGGCTGGCAAGTAGCTGGTGGTGTGGGGCAGGGCAAGGAAAAAGATGTGGGAAAATCAAGAGAACAGAAAAACCATGGTATATTCATTTAACCTTCCACAATAGTATATAAATAACTAGGATTCTCCAGATAGTCTCCAAATACAGAGAAGCCTAAAACACTTATCACTGAAGGATATGCAAGATAGTCAACAATCATTAAATTTTAAAAGGAAACGTTATTGTTTATGCACACATTCTTATGAAGTATAAAAACCCTGTGTGACCAACACCAAATTCAGGGAAGAAAAAAGAATGGGATGAAAGGAGGGCCACTGAATGAAGGTGCTATTCTCTCTCCGGCTGGCTGGGAGGGCCACAGGCGACAGTTGTATTCTAGTTTTAAATAAAGTATTTCAGGGACACAAAAAAGTAATAAAACAAGCAAGTCAAAACTGAGAACCAGTTCTTTGCAATTGGCGGGTGTGTGTTGGGGGCTGGGAATGAGTGTGTGCAAATCTCTGGCAGCAAAGAACCTAAGAATTATGGGTTCAGACCTCTATGTGCCTTAGTATGGTTTTGTGACCCAAAGTCAGGGTTAAATTTTGGACCCAGGTTAGCAACAAAATCCTCCTTTGCAAAATAATTCATAAGGAAGGACTATTTCTCAGGTCTCTTCTAGGTGAAGCAAAACATTCCAGAACAAGAATATCGCTAGCGAAAGAAAATGTTATTTTGTCAGGATTCCACATGGCCGCAGTTCGAGACAGGCAGGTTTCACAGGGAGTTGGTTGGCCCGTGTAAACTGGCAGAGGATGAGAGGAAGCTTCCCTGGCCAGGTCCCTCAAATCTTTAAGGCCCGAAAGGGACAAACACAGCACTTCTACCACGAAAGTCTTAGCCTGAATTAGCCTCCCCCACTGCCTCCTCAGGAGAGGGCAATATTATGGCTCACCTAATAGTGCATGTCTGTTACACTGCGAAGTCCACAGGGTAGTTGGAAGGTAAGCACATCTATGCAGTGAACAGAAAGGTGCCCAGTCATAAGTCAGGACGTGACACGACAAGGGCGCCCCGGTGGCTCAGTCAGTTGAGTGTCTGACTTAGGCTCAGGTCACAATCTCACGGTTCATGAGTTCGAGCCCCACGTGGGGCTCTGTGCTGACAGCTGAGACTGGAGCCTGCTTCCGATTCAGTGTCTCCCTCTGTCTCTGCTGCTCCCCTGCTTACACTCTGTCTCTCTCTCAAAAATAAAGATTTAAAAAAACTTTTTTTTTAAAGAAAAAGAATGTGACATTACAAGTTTGCGGATTATAGAACATAAAAACAGAAAACTCGGTAGTGATATAGGTCCTGTATCCCCTTGGTGAAACTCATGGAAAATAATTCACAGAATACTTAGGGAAGTGTTGATTTCTTCAGTGGAACCAGAAATGGAGACACCTTGAGAATGTTTATCTGCAGAGGGAAAAAAAGGCAATGCTAAAACCTTTTTAGAGTTTGTGGGTACTTAAAACAAAAAAGTCTTCACAAAATTTGAAAATACGGCTGTATTTCTATACTAATAATTTCATCAGAGCTTGAAACTTAGTATTTGGAGTTAATTTCATCTACTACCATTTTACCAAAACTTACCTGGGTCTAATCTTCTCTATGTAAAGGGATCTAGAAAACACAAGTTTCCTGTCCTTCTTGCCTCCACAGAGCCATGGGGACTGAGCCCGGGGACAGGTCTAGAGACGGGGTACACAGCACAGAAAGCTCATGTGTGCCCACGGCCTCCTGGCTTGACATTTACAAAAGTTACATTCAGTCCCCAGTAAGTACCACCCTGCATCGGGTCAAGTGTACTCTTGATTTTCCTTCCAATCTTTAAAACAAAGTTGCAACAAATGGATGTTTTGGCAGTCTTCCTCACCTTGCATACTATGTGAGTGCTGCTGCAAGGGGCCATATAGGACTGTGTATGAACTGTAGGATAATTGGAGCTATGGCAGAGCTTAGCACGGACATCTCCCCAGGGACAACTATGAGGGGTCAGCTTCATTGTTCTGAAGTCCCACCCTGTGGTGAAATTTGCTTTTTCCATCTCTCTGAGCATCTTCTAAGGCTGAAATATATGCTTGATGGGTGACTAAATCAAAACTACACACTGACATAACCTACAAAATGAGTTTCACGTCCCTGGAGTAGAATTAAACGTAAATCACCCTTCAGAGGTACCTTGACCACACTCAGTCCTCAACTCACTGTCTTTACTCCATAGGGTCCAGGAGGGAAGCTGGAACAGATAGTGCCTGTTTATATCCCTGAGCTTGGGGTTCCTTCCTTTTCCCATTTATGGAGAGCTATGTGAAAAGTAAAGAGACAGGAAGGAAAAACCCTCGGGGTAGCCATTTACCAAACATGAAAATCTCTGAATTTCTCAGAACACTTAATCCTAATAGCAGGCCAGATTTATGAAACCAGCTTAGGAGAACCCTTGAAACAGAGAGGACATTTAGAATGCTCCCCACGAGAAAGGAAGATGGCGGCGTAGGAGGACGCTGGGCTCACCGCGCGTCCTGCTGATCACTTAGATTCCACCTACACCTGCCTAAATAACCCAGAAAACCACCAGAGGATTAGCAGAACGGAGTCGCCGGAGCCAAGCGCAGACGAGAGGCCCACGGAAGAGGGTAGGAAGGGCGGCGAGGCGGTGCGCGCTCCACGGACTGGCGGGAGGGAGCCGGGGCGGAGGGGCGGCTCGCCAGCCAAGCAGAGCCCCCAAGTCTGGCTTGCAAAAAGCGGAGGGGCCTGACGGACTGTGTTCCGACAGCAAGCGCGACTTAGCGGCTGGGAGGTCATAAGTTAACAGCTCTGCTCAGAAAGCGGGAAGGCTGGAGGACAAAGGGAAGGAAAGCTGCTGAGCCCCCGGACGACAGAGCTCAGTTTGGTGGGGAAAAAAGGCGCTCGCCAGCACCATCTTCCCCGCCCATCCCCCAGCCAAAATCCCAAAGAGAACCAGTTCCTGCCAGGGAACTTGCTCGCTCCGCGCAAACACCCAACTCTGCGCTTCTGCGGAGCCAAACCTCCGGCAGCGGATCTGACTCCCTGCTGCTGCCACAGGGCCCCTCCTGAAGTGGATCACCTAAGGAGAAGCAAGCTAAGCCTGCCCCTCCTGCCCCTGTGCACCTTGCCTACCCACCCCAGCTAAGACGCCAGATCCCCAGCATCACAAGCCTGGCAGTGTGCAAGTAGCCCAGACAGGCCACCCCACCCCACAGTGAATCCCGCCCCTAGGAGAGGGGAAGAGAAGGCACGCACCAGTCTGACTGTGGCCCCAGCGGTGGGCTGGGGGCAGACATCAGGTCTGACTGTGGCTCCGCCCACCAACTCCAGTTATACACCACAGCACAGGGGAAGTGCCCTGCAGGTCCTCACCACACCAGGGACTATCCAAAATGACCAAGCGGAAGAATTCCCCTCAGAAGAATCTCCAGGAAATAACAGCTAATGAGCTGATCAAAAAGGATTTAAATAATATAACAGAAAGTGAATTTAGAATAATAGTCATAAAATTAATCGCTGGGCTTGAAAACAGTATAGCTGACAGCAGAGAATCTCTTGCTACAGAGATCAAGGGACTAAGGAACAGTCACGAGGAGCTGAAAAACGCTTTAAATGAAATGCATAACAAAATGGAAACCACCACAGCTCGGATTGAAGAGGCAGAGGAGAGAATAGGTGAACTAGAAGATAAAGTTATGGAAAAAGAGGAAGCTGAGAAAAAGAGAGATAAAAAAATCCAGGAGTATGAGGGGAAAATTAGAGAACTAAGTGATACACTAAAAAGAAATAATATACGCATAATTGGTATCCCAGAGGAGGAAGAGAGAGGGAAAGGTGCTGAAGGGGTACTTGAAGAAATAATAGCTGAGAACTTCCCTGAACTGGGGAAGGAAAAAGACATTGAAATCCAAGAGGCACAGAGAACTCCCTTCAGACGTAACTTGAATCGATCTTCTGCACGACATATCATAGTGAAACTGGCAAAATACAAGGATAAAGAGAAAATTCTGAAAGCAGCAAGGGGTAAACGTGCCCTCACATATAAAGGGAGACCTATAAGACTCGTGACTGATCTCTCTTTTGAAACTTGGCAGGCCAGAAAGAGTTGGCACGAGATTTTCAGTGTGCTAGACAGAAAAAATAGGCAGCCGAGAATCCTTTATCCAGCAAGCCTGTCATTTAGAATAGAAGGAGAGATAAAGGTCTTCCCAAACAAACAAAAACTGAAGGAATTTGTCACCACTAAACCAGCCCTACAAGAGATCCTAAGGGGGACCCTGTGAGAAAAAGTATCAGAGACATCACTACAAGCATAAAACATACAGACATCACAATGACTCTAAACCCATATCTTTCTATAATAACACTGAATGTAAATGGATTAAATGCACCAACCAAAAGACATAGGGTATCAGAATGGATAAAAAAACAAGACCCATCTATTTGCTGTCTACAAGAGACTCATTTTAGACCTGAGGACACCTTTAGATTGAGAGTGGGGGGATGGAGAACTATTTATCATGCTAATGGAAGCCAAAAGAAAGCTGGAGTAGCCATACTTATATCAGACAAACTAGACTTTAAATTAAAGGCTGTAACAAGAGATGAAGAAGGACATTATATAATAGTGACAGGGTCTATCCATCAGGAAGAGCTAACAATTATAAATGTCTATGCGCCGAATACCGGAGCGCCCAAATATATAAAACAATTACTTATCAACATAAGCAACCTTATTGATAAGAATGTGGTAATTGCAGGGGACTTTAACACCCCACTTACAGAAATGGATAGATCATCCAGACACACGGTCAATAAAGAAACAAGGGCCCTGAATGAGACATTGGATCAGATGGACTTGACAGATATATTTAGAACTCTGCATCCCAAAGCAACAGAATATACTTTCTTCTCGAGTGCACATGGAACATTCTCCAAGATAGGTCATATACTGGGTCACAAAACAGCCCTTCATAAGTTTACAAGAATTGAAATCATACCATGCATACTTTCAGATCACAATGCTATGAAGCCTGAAATCAACCACAGAAAAAAGTCTGGAAAACCTCCAAAAGCATGGAGGTTAAAGAACACCCTACTAACGAATGAGTGGGTCAACCAGGCAATTCGAGAAGAAATTAAAAAATATATGGAAACAAACGAAAATGAAAATACAACAATCCAAACGCTTTGGGACGCAGCGAAGGCAGTCTTGAGAGGAAAATACATTGCAATCCAGGCCTATCTCAAGAAACAAGAAAAATCCCAAATACAAAATCTAACAGCACACCTAAAGGAAATAGAAGCAGAACAGCAAAGGCAGCCTAAACCCAGCAGAAGAAGAGAAATAATAAAGATCAGAGCAGAAATAAACAATATAGAATCTAAAAAAACTGTAGAGCAGATCAACGAAACCAAGAGTTGGTTTTTTGAAAAAAGAAACAAAATTGACAAACCTCTAGCCAGGCTTCTCAAAAAGAAAAGGGAGATGACCCAAATAGATAAAATCATGAATGAAAATGGAATGATTACAACCAATCCCTCAGAGATACAAACAATTATCAGGGAATACTATGAAAAATTATATGCCAACAAATTGGACAACCTGGAAGAAATGGACAAATTCCTGAACACCCACACTCTTCCAAAACTCAATCAGGAGGAAATAGAAAGCTTGAACAGACCCATCACCAGCGAAGAAATTGAATCGGTTATCAAAAATCTCCCAACAAATAAGAGTCCAGGACCAGATGGCTTCCCAGGGGAGTTCTACCAGACGTTTAAAGCAGAGATAATACCTATCCTTCTCAAGCTATTCCAAGAAATAGAAAGGGAAGGAAAACTTCCAGACTCATTCTATGAAGCCAGTATTACTTTGATTCCTAAACCAGACAGAGACCCAGTAAAAAAAGAGAACTACAGGCCAATATCCCTGATGAATATGGATGCCAAAATTCTCAATAAGATACTAGCAAATTGAATTCAATGGCATATAAAAAGAATTATTCACCATGATCAAGTGGGATTCATTCCTGGGATGCAGGGCTGGTTCAACATTCGCAAATCAATCAACGTGATACATCACATTAACAAAAAAAAAGAGAAAAACCATATGATCCTGTCAATCGATGCAGAAAAGGCCTTTGACAAAATCCAGCACCCTTTCTTAATAAAAACCCTTGAGAAAGTCGG